TATTAAAAAATTATCAGTGATAAAAAAGTGATATCGTAGTTGAACTGGGCAGCGGCTCTGCATCACTTCCATTGCCGGCCTAACGCTGGAGAATTTTCGGAAACGACCTCCCCCTAATTTCCTCCTATGGTACAACTTCCCCACCCCTTCTATCTCTTACCCACTATCTTGCCAACTTTACCCAGCTACCCACCACATTTTCCGAAGTTTTCCAAAATTTTCTATTTTGTCCCAAGATTTCGCCACCCAGCGGAGGGGGTGGGGTGGGTGGCACGTGAAAGCCGCGAAAAAGAACACCCGGAAAACTCTTCGCGACGCGGCGAACTTCTCGCCCTCTCCATTGGGACTTCCCAACGATGTGGATAGCGACCGTGATTTAGGGAAAGCAACTATAAAGAACATTTTCTCACACAAAACCCCCTTCCTTCACTGACCGATCACGACCTTCCGCTGGGAAAGATCCAACGTACGACGTGCCCTGATCCCTTCCCTAACCAAAACAGGCTTAGAACGCAAACGGTCAGAATCACAGCTAGCTACTATCGCAGAGCGGAAAGCTTCTACGTAACTCTGACTGTCTGCGCTCAAAATGAAAGCCTTGGTCGCGAATAGGAACGTATAGAAGCTGCCAGCTAGCCCAGCTCAACTTTGTGAGCGCCAAAAACCCTTTGCGAAAAGTTGTTGCTCGATGGTTGGCGTTACTGAGAACTCATTCTTGTCAATTTTCAGAAACTGCCAGTCTGACACAAGCGCTGATCGCGGTGAGACGAGCGGCATGCCGTGCACGAGCTGTAAACTGGTGTTCACTGATCTGGACACTTGGACCGGAAGACGCGGTACAGAAATCGCAAGTGGAACGCCTGGTCGCCGCCGACTTTTCTATCGGTCCACCACCGATCCGCCCACGTCCACTTAAAAACTGACCGATGAGAAACGCTCCCCTTTCTATCAGTTCCGTCGCTCTGGCGTTTGCAATTTATCGTTATTTCTCGTTTTTTCTATGTGACAATTGTTGAGCCGCTCTTTGTTGTGCACACGCGCGCGTCCACCACATCGAGTGAATTACTTGTTACCCGTCGTCATCGTTTTTATCGTTTCCCTTCGCGCACTGTTAATATAAACGAGTATTATGTGCGCGTGTGTCGGCAGAGCCGTTGTTCTGGCCCATTCCTTGTATATATGTTGCAAAATGGCGTGTATACGCGTTTGCGTGATTGTGTGTTGCAATGTTCTACCATAAGCACGCGCGCGACGCTTAGCGCTCATATGCGTGCGGCTGCGTCGCGGCGTGCATGCTACTCTCTCGTCGCGAGTTCTGTAGTCTGTCTAGCCATTGTAGTGATCAGCCGCCGTGGCACCACACCGGTGTAGATCTTAAGTAGTAGAATCCGGTCCCGGTCTAGTTGTTTCGGTTCCAATGTACTCTAGTGACCCTCGTCAAATCCCCGTTCTGTCCAAATGCAACCCAACAACCCGCGCACATCATTTCTTGTGTCTTCCCGTCTATTTAATAGTAGCGCAATTGTATTATTTCTGTTTGAACTCCCATATTTTTTTGTTCGGGCGCAGGTAGCAAAGTAATAAACATTCATAGGTATTCTGTTTTTATGTACGCTATATCTGAAGGTTGCAGTCTGCCTACTGAAAATTTCGTTATAAAACTATGAAGCTCTTCTAAGAGTATGAGATGCAGTTACGGACGATACACTAGGTGTCGACGTCAGTAGCGCTCTTTTTACAAAATGTTTAAAGGCACACTCCCTGTTCATATGATCTTCAGACACTTTCTTTGGGAGTGGTGGTCCTTTCTCCGAGCAGAGAGAATGTACCACTTTCGGCAGCTTTGAAATACGTGAGGAGAGCGCCACCCGCTTGCGATGGAGGCGACGCCCCGCCCACTGCCCAGCGAAACGCCCAATCTCCATTTCTGAAGACTTCCTGCTGCAGTTGTTCCCTCATCTCAGTCTCTGGGTGTCCTCAATTAAGTCTCCCCATTTCGAATGATTATACTCGAAATCCCTGAGATCGGGTAGGCGCAGCATTCGAACGCTGTAAAGAACGCTACTAGTGGAATATTATAGTCTGGGACAACTGTCATCTTGTTCTGTGTTGGACAGAGACACGACAACGATTGTGTCGAGGTGAAAATATCGCATCAGAAGCGTAAACGCCTTAAGGATAAGTTGAAACATGCGGCCACGCCTACCCGATCTCAGGGATCTCGATGTGTAACTGTGGCGATAGGGGAAAGAGCTGCATCCTCACGCAAGTAAAGCTGTCGACCTACCCCTTCTCTTCGCCTTTGGCTCAGCATGGGGTTATATAAAGAGCTTTTCGGACGATTTTTTATGCGCTAACTAATCACCACCTTGTCGTTAGTATTCGAGCGAAAATTCATATTTATGTTCCAAATGCGGGGCGTTGCCTTTGACCCGGTGGCTCATCCTCGCCTTCACAGGCGACTCTTTTTGATGGATTCAGAGCAGATCCCTTATCCGCCATGTCTGTTTACAAGTTGAGAGCAAGCACGTTTCGAAAAAAAAGAAATTAAGATTCGCCCACTTAGCCACTGCTTCATAGATAGTAGTAGGTAGGATTCATTGTTCTGAAAGGTGCGAGGAAGTGATCTGTAACGTGGGGGGGGGTTAGGCTTTTCTCCAATAGTGACTATCAAGAAAGAGTGTCCTCGCCTGGATAGAACATGGCTTGTTTTTTACGTCAGAAAATCGTGATTTCGATGGTGTTTGTTATCACTAATGCACCTGAGTTCGGTAATATTTGCGTGAGTTAGCGTTCAGAATCAGAGTTGCGTTCTGCGCATCCTCGCATAACAGAGCTTGCACTTTAGCGCTACAGCTATAAATAGCAAACAAAGTTGCACTGGCGCTGTAACGAGTCGTGCAGTCATTTTGCAATGAAATAACGTTTTCTACACAGCAGTTAACCCTTTCAAACAAAAACCGTAGTATTTTCATTAAAATTAGTAATATGGAAACGGAGGGGAGAAATGACATGCTGGGCAAGTTCATCTGAGTGCGGTATAACTTAACCGTGATCAGGCACATCTTCATTCACCTGTCTTGTGACCCTCGCAGGCACTTGATTGCTCTTCTGATAACGCTCCTTTCTTTGGCCATTGTTTCCACTTCAATGAGTGGAGCGTACGATAATAGGGCGAGGGAGCATATGACAGGTGACTTCTATCGGCTAACCAGACATCTACTTCTACTTAACTGAATCACCATAAGTAGGCGGAACGTGAAGGGCATTGAACGGTCTTGCCCGCCTGCAGTTGCCGCGATTACAGGCTCTCAAAACTCTCATAGTAAATCATCTAGAACAGAAAGGCATGTTTATCATTGCGCAGTAAGGCTGAGTCTTTAAAGGGAAGAAAAGAATGGGAAGGTGTTTCACTTGTGAGAGAATCAGGCACCTCGGCAAGACACTGAGCTCCCAGCCCTTGCGCTTGAAAGGTGTGATACGCGGTGCTGTCCGTCGAATGCTTGCTGCGTGCAGGCGGTGTACGCCGCGCGATCTCTGATCGTTGCCCAAGTCTTGCTCCCAGGGCACGTTGTACGTTGAAGATCCAAAGCGAGAGGAGTCGAATTTGGTCGCTGAAGGGATAGTGAGCTCGTGTCTGCCTTTGAGAAAAAATTTCAGTTTATTTATTTATTTATTATTTATCGAATGCATCCCGTATAGGACCAGCCATCACCTTAATATGATATCTGCTTGTTCAGTTGTTGACTTTCTCCGTTTTTTCAAATTCACGTGCGCCATAAACCTGCCCCTCCCTACCCTGCCTTGATTAATAAATTTCGAGAGGTGAGGTCGTATTTGTAAGAATCTCTCCTAACCTCAGGACGTGCCTTAGTTGCTCCTCCTCCGGAAATACTTCATTTCGAAAGGATGTCCAAACGCATGCGCGTACACCATTCTAAACTATGTCAAATCATCATTTGCTGGAAACCTCCATTGAAGGAGCCCTAGGAGCTAGTAGTAGCACCTGGCCTTTCAGCTTTTTCGAAGATTATTATTCGACACTTTCAAGAAGTAGCATACTTAGTTTAGTGATCCAAAAGAATCCGCAGAACCTTTCAAATGAGGTATGGCGCCTTGGATGCTGGGTAAGGGTCAGAAGTCTGTGTTGCGGGAACGCGGCTGATAAGCAGCGTCGCATGTAGCAGCAGATGCTACACGGGAGTATTGATACTGAAGTGGAAATGCGCTAATTGCAAATTCAAGCTAGCTAGTACACACAATATAATATGCGAGAGATGGGGAGGATGCGTGGCTATTTTCAATTTGAACATAGGCTATGAGTCTTTCCGCGGGATATTCCGTATGAATCATTGTCATTCCGTCCCTTCGGTGTTAAAGACAACTGACATTCTTCCGAAAACTTCCAATTATCCCCCTAGAAAGCGAATTCCAAAGAGTGCTAAGAGCTCCTTCCCCTTCTCCAGGTAATGAATGTATGCTGTGGGCCTACACTCCATACCCGGAAATCTCGGCTGCGGACAGCTTCCACCGTGTCGCCGCTCCAAATTTTTTGACGTCACTGCCTAAAGCCCTAATTGCCTTGGGCTAGAGTCTGATCAGACATCTGATGCAGACGCTTAGTGAAATTGAAAGATTCGAAAAATCCTCTCGACGGAAGAAAGTTTGTGTTGGTACCATCCACACATTGCTTTTTTGCGCAAGCGGGAAACAAGACAGTTCTTGTAGACCAATATTAAGCAATGATTTTGCAAAGCGTAGCGACGGTACAACAGCTGGAGGGGGTGGGGTCTAGCCCTTATGAATCCCCTATGAATTTTCATGGCTATTAGGGCTTGAAGGCCTTGAAGGCCATTCTGCAAAACATCAGTGCGAATACACATGTGTGTGTATATGTGGGTGAACATGTGCGTGTATTGACTGAATTCGTCTCGACACTGGCACAGCACAGCTCGCGCTCTGCCGTTCCTTTACTCTCTCCCATATGGTGTACAGAGAAGTAAATCCATGCAGTTATTGGAATTTTTGCCCGTTCTGACCTGCCATATCTCGACTGGAACTTGGGAGTCTCAGCCGTTCATTTTAACTGCCATCGCGTTCTCCGTGTCCCTGCCGCGACATCGAAATCGGTTTCTATGTCGGCCTGTCTGGTCTGTTTCTTTTCTGAATTATTTTTTGAGAATCGGCCCCTTAACCCTCGACTTCCTCAAACGTTTTATTATTTCGTCTAAGATTTATTCTGCAAAATCAATAAACCGGTCAATCAATCGTGCTGTACTTCGAACGCTTTTCCATCTTATTTATAAGTTTCTTTGAATATTCAGTGAGTTTCAATTGTTGAAAAAGCTTGCTGTGGGAACTTATTTTTATGCCGTTTCAAATCGATTTTTTTGGCGAAAACGTGCGCTTTGTTGAGGGTTGTACGACCCTACAAAAATATCGAAGGTCCACGATAACGGAGGGGATGAAGTTTTCAGAATGATCAGTATTTTAGGAATGCACCATGCATCGTACTTCTGCTTAGAATTGTAGTGGCACTTTGATTGCAGTTTGACTCACATAAAAATATGTGGAGGCCAGTCATAGCTTTTTGTACAGAAGAGTACTCTCATCTTTCAAGAGAGTCTGATGCTTATTACCTGAGCACGAAGGGATCGAAGAGTTCGTTATTCATGGAGGAATACATCCGACATTTGTACCTCGGACAGCATGCGAGCTGAGCGGCACCACTTGCCACTACACCATCCTCGGCCGTCGCACAATTCGAGTACTAACATCCCTCCCCCCCACCCACCATATCTGCCTTTGCTGTTGGAGTCTAGACTGCTTTTCCGTTTTTTAGTCCATTATAAAGGCACAGCCCTCCTTCATCGTTCGAAAACGTTTATTTGTTTTCAAATAGGAGACAACAAGTGTTATCAGA